CACTCCTAAGAGATTGTGGGACTTCTGAGTTTAACATTGAAGAATTCTGTGTTAACCTGGACATGGATTCAAACAGGAATTTAGGATTGTTTTTGTTCTCTTCTATTAGTCTGGAGAGATTCACAGACCTGGCAGTCACTAGTGCTTGTCTAGTGGCTCTAGCTTGTGTGAAGCCTGTTTACGTTCACACGTATGATCAGAGTACCAGGGGGCAGGTTTCTTATCTCTATGCTTTATTTTCTTAAGTGGAGCTACAAGATCAAGAGTGCTGCGAAGCGATTTCTGCATGTTCACGGTTACCCAGATGGCCAAAATGGGCAATCACTAGGTAACCAAGCAATGATGGCCAAAATGGGCGATCACTAGGTAACCAAGCAATGATGGCCAAAATGGGCGATCACTAGGTAACCAAGCAATGATGGCCAAAATCAGGTCAGAAAATACAAATTTACCGGTCGATCTACATTCCTACCCTCACTGATGCTCACAAGCTTTGGGTAGATACAAGTGGCAAGAAATGAGTATCCAAGAAATGAGTATCCAGGAAATGAGTATCCTTTGCAGAGTGTCTAGGCTCAGCCTTAGAGAGAGGATGTGGAGCTCAGACATTCGGAAGGAGCTCAAAGTAGAGCCACTGCTGCTCCGCATCAAAAGGAACCAGTTGAGGTGGTTGAGACATCTATCTAGGATGCCTCCTGGACACTTGCATGGGAAGGTGTTTCGGGCATGTCCAACCGGGAAGAGGCCTTGGGGCAGACCCAGGACATGCTGCAGAGATTATAACCCTGCATACATTGTTGCCTCCATGACCCAACCCTGGATAAACTGCAAAAGATGGATGGATGCATGCATGCCTAAATGATATCATAAACATCTTATGAGTCTCACAAGAATTGCCTAGCAACCGCTTCAATCGAACATGCCGCACTTGCTAACTTGTCGATTGCCAAGAGATGGGAACAGGGATGGTTAAAATGATGCTTCATGAACCATTTGCTGGATTTTATTCACTCCACTAGATGGTGCTCTTTGTTTGCTTTGGGGCATAGTTTGAACCCTTTTTTGAACAGAGAGCACCATCTAGTGGGGTCAGACATGAGCCACAGCCACCATGCAGTCAGGCATGCACACAGCACAAATACAAGTGATTGTGGTATACAGAGGGACTCTGGAGGCAGCATAGCTACAGACAGCTTACGAAAAGCAAATGTAAGTGAATAGAAAAGGTTGCTTTGTGTTATTATATGATAATTTGTCAAATTGGAGGGGGGCAGTGCTTTAAGGGACAAGTTTCCCAAAAGCACTGTAGCTCAAACATCATCAGGTAGTGCTTCCTTTATGAGTATTTATGAGTCTTCCTCTGCCGTCCTGCATTTCAGAATTTCGAGTGCGTGCCCTGCAACTTGGTGTGTCTACCTGCAGCACGTAAGCACAAGAAAGCACAACCTGGAAGCAGAAGTATCTTTATTTTGCCCCCAAAAATTGATTCTGGTGAAATATACTGAAGCATTGTGTCGCAACTTTGATAATCGATTCGTTACAATGCATAAATGTATCTTTACACTCCTAATATGCTTTATATGGTTTCCTACGCCATGTAATATTTACACGATTTACTGCACCATTTAGTATGTGTACACTATGTCAGAAATTAAAGGATGTATGCACTCTACCACTTCATATAGTATTTTTACATTATGCCTTATCATGCAGTATGTATATTCTATACCACTCCGTATACAATGCATACATTGCAGTATTCTGTATATCGCATGTGTGGTTGAGTTGCAAGAGAAATACTTATCTGGCAAAATTCATGCCTCTTTCATGTCCTCCTGATATCAAGGCACTATAGTACCTTCTCCCCCTGCTCTGACCAGGGCCCAGGCTCATCTGACAGTGGGGGGAGTATTTTTCTTTCTGCTGTGCCATTCTTGCCTCCTGTTATATATGCATATTTCATAAATTCATATTTTACTGCATTTCAAAGGATGCAAAGCAAGGTTCCAGTGGCGATATCTGCCAGAAAACACTGTGAACAAGCACGCTGTGCTGTACTATGGTGGTGTTGCTGGGACACTCTTCTGGGCAGCAGTGCTCTCATAAGTATAGCACTTTGTCTGCACACATGCCACTGCACTTCTTTGCCATTCAGGACACTATGGAGTGCATACCTGTTTTTACTGGTAAATATTCTGCAGATTGTGGAGGATTTAATAGCCACAGATAAGAGTACGCTTTATTCATAACTACGTCCTTATCAACACAAGCTACCCGCGGATCTTCCTGGTGGAAAACCGTCCCGTTGTGGTTTTATGGCACACGCTGCAGTTTATGAGCACTTGAGAGATGTGCTCCATTAAGATTATTACAGTGTTCCAGAGCTTACTCTTCCATTAAGCTTTTCAAATCAAAGATTAAGCTCGTCCCACCAGGCTGAGGAGAAATATGGTGGCTGTTTTCTAACCCAAACCAGGGAGTGGTGTGTGTGCGTGCGTGTGTGTGTGTGTGTGTGTGTGTAATTTGTGTCACCCTATCTGAAGGAGTGTGCTGGTGTCAGAGGGCTTCATGCATCTGTCAGCCTGACTGGGGACAACTGACAGACGGTGGCAAGGCCACAGAGAACTGCTGGAGTTGGGGGAGGGAACAAAGACTAAGATTTATGCCTGTCTTCTCCAGGAGAAGAAAAACAAAAAGTCTCTATGACATTAGTTTATGTCCCATGTTAACCCAGCAGACAAAACTAATTAGTCATTCATCAAAAAAAGTGAATTGAATTAATGATGTTACACCGCAGAGGCTCTGTGATTTCACTGTGAATTTGCTGAACATTATTCAGCTTTTGTTAAGCTTTTCCACATTCATTACTTGTCTCTTCCTGCCTTTGTTATGGCTCTTTTCGAATGGAAGACCAGAGTTAATTCCATTGGGATTACACTCCGAAGCGGTCTTGTCCTTTTAAAGTCTACAATTTAGTGTAACACCTTAAACAACTTTATTGTACACAGCTCAATTTATGACATGTTAATTATAAACATTTGTATTAAATATGACTCACATTGCTTAAATATCACGACACGCTGCAGGGGCGTAGATTTGGGTATAGACAGTGGGGACGTGACCCTACCAGTACTACCAGTACAGAGCACTCTATGGGGGCAGAGGGTTCGGGGCTGATTTTGTCAAAACCAAACCTATGACCTTGACTGGCTGAAATCCAACAAATAGCCCATCTTCTTTGCACTTTTGCATTTATATGATTGCTAATCCTGATCACTTTCTGTGCCTCATGGAGTATGAGTGTATATATTATGGTATAAGATTATTCCATCTATCGTCTCATAGCTTATCATGGTCAGGTTCAGAGGGGCCTAGAGTCTGTCTCAGGCAGCTAGGCTTAAGCCTAACAGCAACCCTTGCCCAACCCATACTCTAACTCCTACCCTAACCTTTGAATTAAATCTAATAGCACATCTACTTCAAATCCAATCCTTATTCTGAATGCCAAACTTAAGCATAATCCTTAACCATAAAACCATATCTGAACCTTGCCCTCGCTTTACTCTAATGCCAAACCTAACTCATGACTCATGACATGCATACAGGGCAGACACCATGGGTAATTTAGAGGTGTCAGTTAGGCTAACTGCGTGTCTTTGGAGTTTTGGAGGAAACTGGAGTAGAGGTGGGACTGGAAGCCCAAACCCTGGGGGTGCAAATGGTTTTGGGAACACTCCACTGCTGTGTAGTGATAGGAAAGGAAAGCACAGTTTCAACACTTGATGCCATTAGCGTGGTAACTCAAAAAATATTTGAAGTATCTTTCTCAAACTTTGCAGACACTGCATGGATCAATGACGGGAACTGATCAAATTTTGACAAATCACTCCAAAACTGAAGCAATGCTGCTTAGTGGCAGCGAAGGGAAGGGTGACTGTAGACAACACATGAACTGTGAATGTAATAAGGTATAAGTATTTAATGGATCTTATTACTGATTCAAAAAAACATTCTGTGGATGAATAACAACATCTAATTTCATGGGGCAGCAAAGGAAAGAAACAGCGGCTGCAGAAGACACTTCGTTTTTTGAACACAGTAACTCTAAAAGTATTTTATGGATCATTTTCAAGCTTTGCAGTCACATGGGTGGGAAGATCTGGAACTCATCAAATTCTGAGTCAGATGGCATCAAAACTGAAGCAGCACTGCATAGTGATATTGAAAGAAAAGGGCAGTTTTCAAATTCTAGATTCCTTTAGTTTGATAACTCAGAAAGTATCTGTAAAATCTTTTACAAACTTTGCAGACACATTGTATTGATGAAGATCTGAATCTGTTCAAATTTTGAGACAAAATTAAAGCAACAGCACTTGTACTTGTATGAGTGTCTGTTTGACATTAGTTACCAGTAGTAACCACTGCTGTGTCTGTTGCAGCTCTAACTATAATATCACTGAAAACCTTGGTCATAATGCAAATGAGAAAGTAAGAAATAGAATATAAATATTTACACATATAAAGAATATAAGTAATATAAATGACATTTTAAGACAGGACATTAAGACACTGAAGACAGAGAAATACAGTTAACCATCGAGTTAGTGGGGAAATATTGTGATAATTGACATATAAAAGAAATGTGCAATAAATGAATAGATGTAGTTTCAGAGTTGTACATCACATCTAGGACTTGGAACATTCAGGTAAAAACACATTTACTGGCTTTCACATTTCCAGCTGACCCATCCAGTAATTGTAGAGGTTGGGGGTGTGGAAGGAGTCAGGATTAGGTGGAGGGAGGGATTGTCTGTAGAATGCAATGTTGTTCTTCCAAAAGCATCATTTCTAGTTCTACATTGATGTGCATTTTCTGTAGAAGTTGTTTTGCATTACATGCCTCTGTTCCTTATAGATCACTTGCTATAACTTTTTCATTGACCTGCTTGAATACCCAGGTACTGTATATTGTCTGAAAGTTCTGGTCATTCCTGCCACAGGCTACGGGATTGGACTGCCGCAGAACTCCCCCCTTACCTCCAACGTGTCGGAATACATCAGCCGCTACAAGTCAGATGGCTACATGGACATGTTGCATGACAAATGGTACAAGGTGGTCCCCTGTGGGAAAAGGGTCTTTGCCGTCACAGAGGTGAGATCCTCGGAGCAGCAACCTCAAGGGTAACCCGAACCGGCAATTGCAGGACACCTTCATCTCTGTGAAAAGCCCCACGGATATGATGGTGGAGGCACTGCATGACACATGGAGCAGGTCGGGAAGGAGAGGCTTATCTGGGGTGGTGGTGGGGCAGGGACAGGGTCAACAAGGCACAGACTATTTTTATGCAGATCTCTATTCTGTGGCTATTGTGGCTATTTCATAAGGGATGAAAATAACAGGGGCGCTGCCCATATCAGGGACTGGATGCAAGCTGCCATCTAGGTTACTTGGAGCAAAACGAAACAGAATACAGCAATGCAATACAGCAATTCACAGGGGCAGGCAAAACAGATCAGTACACAAGATCAACAGTCAGCTGATCCCCAAATGGGCCATCAATCGTGCTCACCCTCCCATTCTCCAGCACTGCCTGCAGTGTCTTTTAAGTCAAACCTAATGTTCTACTCTAGAACTTTTGAAAACTCATTCCTAGGTAACCTTTGTGAAGGCTGAGAATACAAAGAGGGGGATTACGTCAATTTTACTTCAGAGGATACTGGCTTCCACAGGTCTCTCTGGTTATTATCCAACAGTGGAGGTTTAAAGCACTATTGTTTTTGATTTGCTATTATTTTTAGGAAATGATCCATTAGCATTAACATTAAGAAAGACTGTTGCTCTCATTACTTTTTTCTGTTACTCCATGCTGCTCTGTTTGAACTGATATGAGCATCAGATCTAACTTTCACTAACCAAAAAGCTGGAGTGAGTGCTGAAGGGTATATAAAGCACCACATCTCCAGACTGAGCCCTGACTCACTCCAACTCGCTGCCAGGACCCCGCTTCCTGGCCAATGTTCTGCGTTCTCCTGCAGATAATTGGTGTCATAATCTAATCAACCAACGTGGGCTGGTTGCTCTCCTGACGGCTTTGTCCCTCGTGATTCTCCAGCCAAGGTGATGCTTGTGTAGTTGCTTGGTGGCTCTGCAATCATTCAGACCCCATGACCCAACAGATGAGTTTATATGAAAGTATTAGGAAGACTCTGGCAGGTCTGGGAACAGATGCCGTCCTGTGGTAAAATCATGGGAACATCAGAGACCAACAAGTGATTTTGCCATCTGTGCAAAGTGACTCCCAGCATCTTCATCATTAAATCATCTTTGTGTTTCTTGCCAGGAATTCCAATCACCTATGCTAATGTTTATTTCACGCAAGGCTGTCCCATCTGTGAGCTTCAAGGAGAAGCTTAGAAAATAAGATGATGTGGGCTTCACTCACAGGAGCTACGCGGGAAGAAACTTCAGCTTCCTCAAGTTTTTTTTCCCACTTATTGGCCAGAACCAGATGAAAATAAGTAACTATTGTAAAAGCCTGGGAAGCTCAACACAGATTCTAGGTAGAACAATGTGAACTAAAAATGAAAACCTTGATTTCTTGACAGGAAAAGGGGTCAGTGAAGCATTAAATAGCTTTAATCATCCGTGACAGAACTTGGAGGAGTAAATCTGTAGCTATAATATCCCTATGCCCCTTGCGATATATAGGTTAGAGAACGATGAAAGACATCAGCCTGGCAATTTTTTGTTACACTTAAAAAAACTGAGTCTGTTCTAAAAAGATTATTCCTAATTTAAATTTTAAATCCTTTTACTCATATAATATCGCAGGCTAGAAGAGGGCCTCGAGGGTGGGGGGCGAGATGCCTGGAGCTTTAAATGGTGTGGGGTGGACAACTGCAAGCCAGTCAACAGGCTCTTGTGGGGGCCTGATGGGTTGGGTGCTGGCCAGTAGGGAGTGCCGTATATCACATGAGGGGGGGCTTGCAGGCCTGTCGACACCCTTGGCAATACTTCCTGGAGCCAGCCCAGGATTAAATGGAGATGATTTCTGTGAATGGCGAGCTCAGCTTCCGGATCCTGACACGGGGCAGAGTCAGCACTTCCGGAACAATCCGCCTGCACGCCCGGCCACCAAGCCCCAGTGATGACCTTTTTTGTTGACGTTTTAACACCAACTCCCTCTGAGTGCATCAGCAGAGTTCGGACCCACTGTGTTTGCCCCGGCAAAGGTCAGGTTGGTCCTCAGAATGGCTGAATTCATTTCAGTCACCAAAAAATATGCACTAAATGGACTTGGATCATGAGTAATCCTAGTGGATGTTGAGTAAAAAACCTTTGCTGCAGATAGTCATTTCTAGACATTTTCCAAATACATTTGACATATCATGAGAAGTTCCCTTCTCCAAGTCAGACTGCAGTCATGTGACTCTGTGACCGTGAAGAAAGGATCGTCTCTGTCCGTGGCAGAGATTTCAGTTTTTGGTTTTGAAAATCTCCTTTTGAATTTGTTAGATTTAGTCAGCAGGATTCCTTGTCCCTACCCAGCAAAGCCGCACCAAGCCAAGCCATGAAAGATTCATCAGAAATTTCAGGACTCCACCAACAGAGAACCAGTGTTTGTGTGAGCAAGCCTACACTGCCCCCTAGAGCTTAAAATGGAGAACTGACTTTGGATAGCTGGATCTCTGCTGTGAGATTATGGAGGGGATGGGTTAGCTAAGCCTCTGAGGAGTGCAGAGTGGGGAACAGTCTCCTGCTTCACCTTTTGACTGTGAAGTTCCGACCAGTGTCTTCCTGAGCAGTGTACAGGCCTGTGTGTCCATGTTGAGGCCCCTGTCTCCCTCCCCTCACCCTCTGTCTCCCTCTCCTGGCCCGGCAGACCCTGCAGATGGGCATACAGCACTTTTCCGGGCTGTTCGTGCTGCTGTGCCTGGGTGTGGCGGGGGCACTGCTCACGCTGGCCGGGGAGCACGCCTTCTACCGCCTCGTCTTGCCCCACATCCGCCGCCGGCAGAAGTTCAAGTACTGGCTTCACACCAGCCAGGTGAATTGGGGCATTTCCGGGGAGATCCCAGCACCGCTTCACATCTGTCTGCGCATCCATCTGCATTGAAGGCCTCCGCGGGGCTTTCTGGGCAGCCGGCTACCCACTCTCTGCATTTAGAGAACTCCTTACCCATAATGCACCGGGGTCCTTGTGAACCTGAAAGTCTTTAATAACTGTATCAGGTAAAATCCTGTTACTCGCTGCAGCATGTGAAGCACAGGCCATACCCCGGCCTGTCAGGCTGACTAATGGAATTCCATAACTTACATTATGGAGGTAATCATATTAAAAGGAAAAGCTACCTTATATAAAACATGATATAGAGGGCTACAATTTTGGATGACTACAGTATAGCCTGAACAAGTTAGCAAATGTACCCTAATAAAGGTTTAATGGAGGTACCAGGCCACTCCACACAGCTTAAGACGAGGGCAGTTATTGGAGTTATTTCTGGGTGTTGAACAGGCCAACAATTAAATATGAACATTCCCAACAAGAGGGAGGTGTGGAGGCTCAGTGGGTAACAGCACAGCCCCCCACCTCCACTGTGCGTGTGGGGTTAGCATGGTCTCCCATGTCACGTTCCTGAACTAATTCTCTGGCAGCTCCCCTGGAGGTGTTGTTGAGTATTACAAAAACAAGACCTGAAAATATATTATTTGCTTCATAATGACAGATAAGATGACTGAAACACTGCATTCACACATGGTTAGTAATGACAACTAACACATGTATTATGACACTAAATTAGTGCAAGAACACTGTAAATTTAATTTTAATATAGAATCCTAACCCTTTTCATACTTTTACTGCTGACAGCATGATGTTAAATTTTATCTTTGACATATTTTCCTTAATCTTAAATTTTTAGGCTTGTGGCAGCCATATTGTTCAAGGTGTCTATAATATCTGTTATATTTTACATCACAGATCCTCCAAAGAATTATTTACTGTCAGACTTCCATTGAGTGATCAGTTTGGAGATGTGTGCAGGTTTGGTAACTTTCTTCAAAAGGCATTGTAACAAAAACCCTGAAAGTTATGATGTTTATATTGCGAAAAACTTTTTTTTACAAATGTGTGCCAAGAAACACAAGAATTAAGATGAAAATGTTGGAATCCATTGTAGTTTTTTTAAGTTAAAAAATGGTAAAATGGTGGCAGATACTTATGGTCCTGGAGGAAATGAGTCACTTTCTTCAGCGTCCGTCCCAATGCCTCCGCTAATCTTCAGAAATTACCAGCTGATTTATGGCATTAGGATCGGTACCAAGGGCAGATTAGAACCATGGTAGTAAAGGTGGTGAATTTCAACAAAAAATATAAAGCGACAGACACTAAAGCAGGCAGGATGATGGCAAGGTGGGCAAGTCTGGGATGGACCAGTGAAGAGTGGAATGCAGGTACAGAAACACCACAGACTGTGCAAAGAAAACACGGACACACTATTATGGGACAGCGACAACATTTTAATGCTAGAATCATAACTCAGAATCAGAGAGCTTTAGATCTGCATTGTTCACACTCATGTCAGACAGCACCAATGGGACCCACTGGCCAGCAAAACGGCACAATTTTCTTACCTGCATTTCCTGTCATACCCACAGTGGTTCTAAAATCAGACTATAGTTTGCAGTTCTATCCAGCACACCTGTGCTCACCCATTTGAGCACATAGGGCGCCACCTGCTGTTTAGTCCAGCAAACTGCAAGCAAAACCTTTTCAGCCTCCCTGAACTACACACATTCCCTGGGCAGGATTACTAGCAAGAGGGAAAATTAATTTTTAGGATGGTGTCGCTTCAGAAAATTAGAAGAGGAGAATTTAGCTTCTGGTTGATGTCAGCATTTCCTTCTGTCTTTCAGAAAATCCACAGAGCATTAAACATGACCTATGAGGATGTGAAGAGGCAGCGGGCCAATGCAGAAAAGAGGTATCGGCTCTGCAAAGTACCATCCAGCTAATTACCTTGCCAGCTGTGCCAGCCAAGCCGCTCTATCTCCCAGACTTTTATGGCGTTTTACACTAGTTTTGCGTTAGAACAAACTCTTGACTGCATTAATTTCATTCCGCTCACACCTCACAAGGTTGCCTTTTGCTCCTCTGTCTTTTCCCAGCTGTAACATACAGAAGGCACAGCCCTCGCCTCCTGCCCCACCTGCACCACCAACAGATGGTGCCACCGCCACCACAATCACGAGCACCAGCGCCACCAAATGGAACAATGAATACAGCAAGGCCTTACGGGAGCCTAAGGATAACAAGCGGGTTCACTTCAACCTGGAGACCCTCAATAGCCGCCGTCTCCAGGCACAAGCCACGCCTGAGGTGCGAGGAACCGGCGGGACCAGCAGGGGGACGCTGACCTTGCCTGTGTGTGAGAATGGGGGGCCCGGGCTGAGCCTGCTGCCACCCTCGGCCTCCTCATCCTCAGGCCCGCTACCCCAGGACGACGAGCTGCAGCAGCTGCAGGAGCAGATCGAGGAGATGAGGGGCCAACTGAGAGCAGCCCTGGCCCGGAGGGCTGAGCTGCAGACCTCACTGGCGCAAGAGAGGGTGGCCCAAGCCACAGCAGTGACGCAACCCCCCCCTGCCAGGCTCCTGGCTATGCGCGTCCCTCCCACCAAAGAGAATGGCAAGAGGTGATGGTGAAGAGGTTAGGGCTCCCGCAGGCCGCAGCTTGAGAGCTCAGCTGGGCCATGAAGACCCTGCGGCATGCCAGAGATGGACCCCCATCTCCATCTGGCAGGATCCGCCCTGGACGCTTGCCTGGGACGCTGGTGCCCCAGTCACTCACTGACTCTCTCCATACTATCCAGGGCCCCAGAGAGGAGAGATGAGGCAGAGCAAAGCACTTTCTGGAAGAACATGAGCCCCTGGTCTGCGCCGGTCGACAGTCCCGCTTCAGGATGGGCTACCACACTCACACGCTTCACTCCTCGGACTCAAACCATGGAGGCAGACACAAATACAGACCCCAGACTCCCCAGACTGGTGAAAACAGAGATGCAGCGGCGAGCCGCTGTAATCTGATGGATGGAGGGTCAGGGTCGTGCCGGGGATCAGCTGCGAGAGATAAGTCTCTGCCTGACCATGTGCAGATGGCCCACACTTATGCAAGCTCACAACAGCAGCCCGGGGTCTGGACTCCTGAGGAGCCGTGAGCTCAGAGACCTGGAGCATCTTTTTAAGGTGTCATTGTTTCATACTCCAGTATGGACTGGTGATGTTCTCTGGCTTTGACTCCTCCCCCCCCCCCCAATAAACATTGTCTTATTGAAGTATGATCAATTGGAAATTCTCGCTGTATTCATCCACAGTGCAATGTCTGAAGACAAAAGATAGAGACAAAGAAGGGAAGAAAAAGGGGGGAGTGGAGGAAAGAGGAGCAGAGAGGGTAGTGGAGAAGGAAAATGGGGGGGGCAGGGGAGTGGACAGGGCAAAGGAGGAGCAGAGAGGTGAGTGGGGAGGAGAAAGGGGGAGCAGAGGGGAAAAAGGAGCAGAGACGGGAGTGGGGATATGAAAGGGCTGGAGAGGGGGGAAAGGGGGAACAGAGGGGAGTGGAGAGGGAAAGGAAGAGTAGGGGGGAAAGGGGAAGGGAGTGGAAGGAAAAGGGGGGGAGACGGGAGTGGAGAAGGAAAAGGGGGAGCAGAGAAGGGAGTGGAGAGGGGGAGTGGAGAGGGGGAACAGAGAGGGCAGTGGAGAGGGGAGAAAGGGGGAGCAGGGAGTGGAGAGGGGAAAGGGAGGCAGAGAGTGGCAGAAGAGAAATAGGGGAAGGAGGAGCAGAGAGGGGAATGGGAGCCAGGGGGTAGTGATGTTGCAAATTTACACCAAATACAGTGGTGGGCAAGGTTCTGTTAATCCACTAACCACTTTTTCATTAGAGGACTAGCATTTCTGCCAACTTTAAAACCATTAAGTGTACCAATTAGCTTCTGCTAAATTTAGTTCCCCTAAATGTAAATCTGCTGACATTTTTTTGCAGGTAAAGTGAATAAAGTTTAACGGTCAAAAACGTTTGTAAACCTTAAAATCATACATACAGCCATGGAAAAAACTCAGACCACAGCACAGTTCTTTGTTTCACTCATTTCTCAATTAATGGGTGTGCGTCTGTGAATAATATGCTTTTTTGTTTGCAAACTGCAGCCTGGTTCTTCCCTGCTTTATGGGACTTCAGTCCTGCTTCCAGGAGCCTGATACCCTAGCAGTGCACTTCACAACTGCACTCAGTTTTCCATTCCTTTTGAAGGTCACTTGATATCATCCTACGATTCATGAGAAACTGTCAGGTATGTTGATAGTCATCTCTGGCATTAGAAAGTCACTTCTGCCTTCTACCTGGCTGGTTTCGGGCCGTTCCCAGGGTGTCCTGCTGTATTAGAAATTTTGAACCTGGAAGCAACCTGCTGCTCAGTGTAGCTTTCTGCCAGCAGAACCAGGATTAAACCAGGATTTTAAAATACAGTTTTTTTTTTTAAATATAGAGCTGCCTCTTTTTTCCCGAGGCTGTATTTGTTCTTGTTTGTTATGAGAATGTCTGCGGTTGTTACTATGTGTAAACACAAGACGTGACTGGTCGATAACTTGTTGGATTTAAGGTAGTCTAGGCCAAATAGAACTGAATGAAGTCCAGTTAAACTGCAGAACTCAGAACTAAGAGGAGAACAGACCTGTATAAGAAAGCTGGATTTCTTGCTGTTAAGTCCTAAATATCCTCTGGTAATCATTCTAGTCAGACAGATAGGACTTAGGTGCTAAACAGCTTTTTAGCTCTTTATAGAGCTTTTAAGGGTTTCAGAGCCAAAAACCAAACTGAAACTAAATTAATACATAAAAGTTAGAATTTTGATTAGGTTCCTCAGAAGTTTCTAGTGGTTTGTCGGTTTAGCATTGAGTTAAACTTTGGAGTTAGCGGATTATCAGTTATGGAAGCTAACTTCTTGGTTAGCTGTGTCCACCTCTGGCTACATAGCGCTTCACACATAGACACACTTGAAGCACCATTACAGAGGAGTACGGCTGGATATGGGAAACTCAGAGTAACGAATTATGGGACAAGCAAACACACAGCCATTATTGTGGGTTCTGTACAGTCAGAACTGCATAAGGCCACTATGGAACAAAGGAATATCTCCCTTAAACACACAACTTTGCAAAGCAGCCATCTGATGCATCAGGTGGGATAATGCAGCTGTTCACAGCTGTACCAGATGGCCTGGCATGGGTTTCTGCGTTTGCAGAGTTATTACTGGGGCCCTATGAGTTAAAGACGACTCCTACTTCAACCAAGTAAATAAATGAAATCAAGCACAAAACAATAGTGGTAAGTAGAGGACAACGGTGAGTACAGAGACTTTCTTCTCTAGTTTTTTTTTTCTTCTTTACTTAATTGTTAAATACATTTGAATGATAGGAAAAATGTTATCCATCACAGATTCAATGATTGCATTACAATGTCTAAATTCTACAATAAAGAGCGACAGGCTACAATCATAATGCCTTCTCTCACATAAGACAGGCACTGAAACATAGACGGAACTTAAAACCTTTGTTAGGGCTGTGACTCAGTACTCATTAGTCAGTGACACACACACCTGGATCGTCATATTGCACTGTTTACTCCTGAATCACTAAACATTTATGGGCTTATTGCATAGCCATTTCTGAAAACCCTCACCTTACTTGGCGAATGGTGACAATAGTGACAGGAATAGTGTAAGGCATAAATCTAGGTACAGCTGAGCGGACACAGCCATTCCTACCCCCTGCATTTACAATTCCGGCTTGAGGGTCCCTGCATTCTGTAGTGTGAAGCCTTCATCTTTCACTAAGATAACCCCACCCCTTTTTGTTGCAAAAGTAACACACCAGGAATCACATTTAGCACAAACCTGAGACACAGCGTTTTAAGACCACCCACTGCGAGTGAGACCCCCCATGACCCACGTGCTGACAGGGCATTTACAGACAGGAAGGCCACACCTCCACCTAGAAGATCCCAAAAGCAGGGGCATGTACGGTGGGGCAATTGGGAGTCATTTCAAATATACAGTGATCTATATATATATTTTATATACCATTTCCATTCATTTGAAAAGCAAACTCCAGTAGTAAAATAGAGGACTTAATTATTTTAGGGATATTGTCACATATACAGTGTAACATACTTCCAGTTTAAGTTAACTTTCCCAAACTGGTCCAAATGTCCACTCACTGCAGCCGACTAACGCATCACCAACCCAGAGCTCGCCGGGGATGGGAGGGGTCAGAGTATGCTGACAGGGATATGGTGCGATGGTGGAACACACATAAGGGCGTGCTACGGCTCGGGATGGACGGACAGACGGACGAATGGAAGATTAGGATGACTATGTGAGGCACTCTCCATGCTTCAAACTAAAACCTAACCAGTGAAAATGAAGCAGGTGCTGGTTTGTCAGCTACACTAGGGCCTCTTCCGGCGGCTGGCTGCAGTGAACACTGGAATTGGTAGCGCTGAACTCCTCCAGGTCATGACACAGGGGAACGAAGCAAGACACGACTCCAAGACGAGCACAGCGAGGGAGCACCCCAGGACGCAGAAGCCCAGAAAGGTGCGCACATGCAGAAGGCCCGCTGGCAAGACAGCGAGCCCCCGGCCGGCTTCACATAGACACTCTGCTCTCCGCATCCCCACATTTCAAAACCTTTATTATGCTCAGTTCACAGATCAGAAACCTTCTTGCATCACCTCGATAAACGCCAGCAACCTGATTTCCACTCAAATCACCGATTATGCTGCGGACTCCGGACCAGAATCCGTCCACAGCGCTGCCCCATGATCCGCACTGAGGTGAGTCCCAATGCGGGTCCTGTGAGGAAGGTACATTTAAAAAAAAAAAAAAAAAAAAAAAAAATTGGAAAAGCTTGCCAAGACCCAACTTCCCACAGCAAAAATGGGGGTGGGGGGGGGCAGTGTTTCTCTTTGCTCGCCCTTCCTGCCACCACACACAGTCTTTCTAAAGAAATAAATGAAGCCACATCTAAGAATCAGCCTTGCATTCGTCTACATGTGACGCACGCTGGAGAGGGGGTGCCAATTTTGGCCTCTCCGTGTGCATGCAGCTGCAGCTCAGGATGGCGAGGGGGGGGGGTCCGGCCTGGGGGCTGGGTCCTCTCTGGTGGCGTTGTGCCAGTCCGTGCTGCCCTGCCTCTCCGTGTCGGGCCCCCTGCAGTCTGCATGTGGTATGGGGGGGGTCACACCAGGCCGGGTCTCCACCCCCTGCCACTCATCTCTAGGTGGCTCCACCCCCCCTGGCCCCACCTCCCTTCCAGCTGCCCTCCCACTCATGCCGGGCTCCATGACGGCCATCTCCCGCGGCTCCTCGGCCTCCGAGGGAGCCCCCCCCAGCGCCTCCGTGATAATGGCAGCAGTCTCGGCCACCCAGTCCAAGTCGTGGGTGGGTGCCGGAGGAGCACCGGGGCGGGCCGGGGTCTCAGGGGGCGCGTGCAGCTGGCCATTGACAGGCGTGGCTGCCTGGTCCCCACCGTTGTTGTTCAGGTTGTCCTGCAGAGTGGTCTGGTTGCCCTGGCCTGCCTGCTGGTTCTGCAGCAGCATCTCCTGGATGCGGATCTGCTGCAGGATGGCGGGCAGCTCGTAGTGGTGGAAGAAGTAGATCATGGAGTGCTGTACGGGGACAGGGAGGCGGGGTCAGGGGTGGAGTCATGAGTGGGGCAATGGAAGGGCGGGGCAATGGAGGGGCGGGGCAACAGGCCCTAACCTGGATGAAGAGCCAGGAGGTGACCAGGGCTAGGCTGCTGTACTGTCCGTTGAAGCGGTAGTGGTAAGCGTAGAAAGCGAAGTGGTACAAGTAGAAGAACCTGCAGGAAAGGAGAGACAGAGAAAGGCATGTGATGTGGGCGTGGAGGGACCTGGTGGCAGGGAAGGATGGACTGGGCCCCCCCCTCGTACCTCAGCCAGTGGCGCTTGCTGGTGTTGGTGTGACAGCAGATGGCGTCATACTGATCAGCCAGCCACACGATGAGGATGATGTAGAAGGCCGTTGTAGTGTCATTGAAGAACTCCGACATGATGGCCTCCATACCTGTGGGGAGGGGGGGAGGGGTGGGCTGAGGGGGGGCGGGAACGGGGGCGCCGCTTACCGTCTGGCCCGTGTCTGCAGAGTGACTGCATCTTACCAACGAGGGCGAGAATGACGGTGAGCAGAGGGGCTGCTGGGAAGGCGATGGTCATGTTCATCTCCAGCATCTGCAGCAGGTCCACTAGGGGGGAGCGGAAAGGAGAGTATGGTGAACAGCCCACCCACAGCGGGAACACACAGGCCTTCAGGAGGTGCCAACTCACCAATGAAGACGAAGATCTGGTGATGCGAGTAGCGAAGGAGCATGGAGACAGACAGCGTCTGCGGGCAGGGAGATGGATGAGAGAGCAGCTGAAAGGCTCGGCACTGACTGAGCACGGCACCCTAATCTCCAGCGTGGAGGAGGCCTTCACCCTTCCTACCTAAAGCTGGAGCGGGTAAAAACAAGGGGGCGCCCACATGCCAGACGGGGGCGCCCCATCTCAGGCATCGCATGGAGGGGGCAAGTACTGCCTTCGCCTCAGTTTATACTGGGAGCTGATCCAATATTTCGCTGTGCCACAGTACAATGTGTTAGCTGTAGCAGCCATTGTAAAATAAGCATCAGGCAGCTGGTTCTTTCATAAACAAAACCAGCAACATCCAGTTAGCTGCTCAACTTCATTCTGCTTTATGTTATGGAAATACCGCGATTCCTGACATCTGAACACGCAGAACAGTGTGGGTCCCCGGCGGCTCTTATGTGAGTGAAAGCCTGGGACAGGCTCCTGGATACTCACGAAGATGACCATGATGACGAAGGCAGCCAAGTAGGAGGTGCGGGCCATCCACATGCTGACAAAGCGATAGTGCTCACCAGAGACCACGTTCCTCAGGAACCCTGCGGGCACACGGTGGGCAGCGTTGTGTTAGCCAACACCCAGGGACACCCACAAGCCACCGTGAGCACGCCTGGTATCGGCACACCTTTGTTTTCCTCGTTTTCAGCCAAGGCCTTCACGCTGGACATCAGGATGTCGTCATAGCCCAGGAATTCATCCAGCAGGAAGCGACTGAAGCCGTCACCGAAACACTGGTCCTTCATGGGGTCTGAAAGGACAACCGCAGGAAGCAGGAAGCGGCTCAGCGCTGCTGGGGGGACACTGACAGGCTGTTCCAGCACACAACCATCTGAAACTGACCTCATAATGGTAGATACCATCACAATGCAGTTCGGCACCACCAACCTGCCCTGTTTTCTTAGCCCTGGCCAGAGAGTGCTGTACAGTCAACCTTACCTAGTGTGACCACCATGACAGGGATGTTGAGGCGCTGCCGCGTACTCTGGGACAGACGAAGGAAGCCGTACTCCAGGGAGTACTCCACGATGTACTCTTCCTGCGGCCACACTGTGGGCACGGGGCAGGCGAAAGCGATATACCATGAACAAACATCAAAACACAGGCATCCACTGGAAATGTTTAAAAACAGCTGCAGAAAGCGACCTTTGTCCCACCGAAGGGACACGATCTGACCATTTAAAAACACTGCAGGATACAGGACAGTTGCCTTCCAGGAGGGGAAGCCTCCCGGCAAGGTGACCCGCTAGCACTGCCACACTACACCATTAGCGGACCTCCATGGCCATGTGCCACAGTCATTTAACGCACTCAGGTTTAATAGCGCTTTTAAATCACATCGCATATCTACTGAAGCGGAATTACAGGAGGACGACAGAGAAGAGGGACAGGCAAGGGAGTCCCAGAGGAGGGGAGCCCAACAAAGACCAAGGTTTCAGGGTCAAAGCGCCCCAAAAAGGGTGGAAGGGATGCTGAGGAGGAACCCACAGGCACAGTGCCAGACATGAGTGAAAGAAGCACCCAGGAAGAAGGGGAGGGCGAGTGAGGGAGAGGCCGGAGGAGAAGGGAGGATGGCGGTTTACCTGCTCGCGTCAGCATCTCAATCTCGGAGACGGCGTCCCCCAGAGGCTGCATACCTTTAGTGGGAGCCGGGCTGAAGGAGAGGTCCTGCGTGTCATTCAGCCCCAAGCCGGGGGTGCTGCCACGGCTCAGTGGGGGGTTCAGCCGGGGCTCCATGTCCAGCTCAAACTGCAGCAGACAAGGACAGGTCTACTTCAGGGCTTTGGGCACGTTATCTCACGAGGGCATAAGGAACCCAGGCAGATGGAGCCATCATGTAATACAGAAAGCCCTCCTGAGAATGGATGTTCCTGACAGAAAAGTCCCGCAAGCCTCCCGCTTAACACTAGGCAGCCCTCATCCGGCAAGCTAGCACACTCCTCTGCTAACCTGCACGGAGCTGTTGTCAAACATCTCCACGCTCATCTCCTCCTCTTCCTCCTCCTCTTGGTGTAGGGCACCCAGCCCCGCGGCTTCACCTTCTGGCTCCTTTACGAGGCCCTGCAGGCTGTCGGCTTCGTAGAACTGCAGGAAGATGGGTGCACGGCTGGAGTTGCGCTGGATCTCCACACGCAGGATGCCGTCGCGGGGCCACTTCTCCCTCACATGTTCCAGGCAGTTGATGGGTGAGCGGGAGAAGGCGATGTGGATGTAGGCCAGGATGAAGAGCACAAAGAGCGCCTATGACGAATGGGGGAAGACGGGTGGTCACATGGGAACCATCAGCATGACGATTGGTCAACAATGATTTAGTTTAGCCAGTAAGGACACTGCAGGTCAAGGAGCACTCAGTAGGTGATTCTATAGGTAAGACAAACATAGAACAGAGGAGACAGAGGGATGTGTATTTCCCGCAGCAGGTTAGGGTGCAGGCGCAAGTGAAATATCCTAAGGCAGATTTCAGGCAGCTATAGCAAGAAGAGGTCAAAAGAGGGTCACCCAGGCTGGAGGAAGGAACAGTATAGGAAAAGTGACAAGAGCGTTTACACCCAGACATATGCGGCAATCTTTATGTCACTCCGCAACAAGAAGCAACTGAGAGGCAGCACAACAGCTCATTGCTGTCCTCTAACATACCGCAAACTTCAGGCTTGGTATGGGCTATATTTCTGAAATGTGACAGGAATCAAATCTGCATTACTGGTGCAATTTTAATATAGATGTTTAGCTTTCAAATTTTATGGAAATGACCAAGCAACCTCATCCAATTAACCATTCCTTTCCATAACCGCTTAACCAGTACAGGGTCAGGGCAATTAACCATTTCCAAATTTATAAAGCAGGGATTCCCAACCAACAGTCCAGTTCGGTATTCAACTGGGCCAGAGAATGCTGGTGGTTGGGCAGAGGGGTTCATTAATTTCCAAAAATAAACTATATATCTCACTGATTGTGAATAGGCATTTATATTACTGTTACTGTTGTGGAAACCAAAATATTGAAGCATCTGTGATTTGTTACAGTTAGCAAACAAGTTATGATGATGTTTTCCTATTAACTGTGTGTAATACTTCAGTGCATGAATTTTTCGCACAACATATGCTGGTCTGCGATCATCAAAAGGATGGGATCGCTTCAGGAGCCTGCTTTTTATAACATCCATCTTTTCCTCCACATGTCCAACTAAGGCTGTGTTCACAGACTCCAACCTTCCATTATTGCCCACAAATTTATCATAATTACAAACCCTAACATCACTCGGATGTTTTGTTTGCGATAATTTGCTTACAATATCTTATTAGTCAACATGCAGTATAATAATAGCAGATATGTAATGAATGTTGGCTAACTACCTGTCAGGACCTATTGTAAAAGAAACTAGACCTAAACAGCACTGAATCAGCAGTATTAAAAATGTATACTGTCATATGCTGAGTTGGAACATGAATAATGACTGAGAGGGATCCTGTCAGTTACTGGTCATCTGGGAGTTCCATCAGCATTCCTTTTGAAATGATCACCCATCGGCTTTGGATAATGACTAAGGAGCTTAGAATGTGACATATCATCCTGCCTACAGCTACAGAGAAGGGTCAATCCATACCAAGGCTACAATTTCCTAAAAGGGGGCGGGGAGAGCAAAACACGACAACAGCACATTTTCTACATGGGTCTCGCTCTGATGAAATGCTGCGATGATGTCATTGCGATGATGGGTGTAAGTGGAAGGGTCTACGCATGTAAACATGCAAAACAAGCTAGTTGTTGCTCATGGCTTCAGGCAACAAAGGTTCACTTTTTTTATTTGAGACCTCACACAGGTAGACCACTACCAGCCTTCCTCGAAAGGATCCCCGCCCCCAGGTGACCAGGAGCAAAGTCAATATCAAGCTGCAGCGCGGCTCCTGGCTTCTCCTGACAGCCAGTAAGCGCTCTCAGCCGACAGGGTATGTTTCGTCAAACGTGTGAGAGCCTCCCCTCTCTATCATTGCCACAGAAAAGCCAGGGAATCTCAGCCCTGCCCTGTCGATACACTAATCCTTAGCAGAACTGAAATGCTTTATTTAAAATATGTGGTCATTCACATACTTTCTTGTGACTGATTCCACATTTTACATGCACATACAACAGTTTCAAGTAAGACAGACTGATTCTGATAAGTGACTATCAGACCACTGTTGCTCTGCACTTGAACATTATTTAAAAACATTACATTACTGCAAAGGACACCAGACCCCTTCCTGCATAAAAGACTATCTCTACATCAAATATGTATGGGTATGCTATACATTTTTTTGAATATTGTTAATTAAGTAATAGTTAATACACACAGATAAGTAGACAATGCAGGCTTTAAAAGGCTGAACAGGCATTCACAAGCAGTTAGAGGGATTATGTAGGGCAGGGATATGGTAAAATTATGGGATCTCTTATGGTAAAATTAAAATAATACACCACACTACGGTCCTGTCACGCAAATCCTACCTTTAAGAGGACTAGGAACTCAAAGATCCTCCTGAAAGACGGTGGGAAGAGCCTGGCGTAGGTCACAGCCATCTTAAAGAAGAGTGCGTGGAACAGCCGGTCCCGCACATTGATTAGGGGGTTCTGGTTGATGTTCTGGTTCCGTATTCGGTTCGGCCCAGCGTTATTATTGTTTAGCGGGTTGTTGTTGTTCCCGTTGCCCTGATTTTCTGACATCTTGGAGGCGGGTACGACGCAGTTACTTATAACTTACTATATCTCTCACACAGAGAACTAGGTGCAGTTGATAACTAGCCGGCCAGCTTGCCAGATGATTGGTCAGTAGTGGCATCAACAGAAATCCACTCAGTGTTTCAAAAATGTAATGAAAATAATCTTTCCACCACGCGTGATCAACCAAACCTACTCAGTGATATCAATCCCTAAGACAAATAGCTTCAACCTAACGGACAGACCAGGCAAAATAGACTAAAGAGTAACAGGCCGCCTCGGGATCACGTTTTGACAGTGATGTTCGGGGATGAAGGACTAAAGATCGCTTTTATAAGACCCCCCCGAATACGCACCCTTGCGAGTTGGCCCCATGTCGTGGCCTGTTAGTCGTAAACCCTTCACACATCCCGTCTCGGCGACATAAGATGTCAAGCGCCTCCCTCAATAAGGTATATAATGCCCTGCAGAAGCATTTTAAAACCATGAGGTGGGTTTGACTTTATTCATTATTATTATGCGGTCAACACATGTGGCTAACTCCGCTTAGCTTGGCTATAAACTACAGCTGATGGTCGGCTACCGCCTAATTAGCTACCGAGCGGGCTAATGTTGAGCTCTGATTGAATATATAGCCGCCCGGTTCCTAAAACTGTATTTACAGCAGAAATTTCTCTCCAGTGTCCAGATGTAGAGCGCTTCGACTCGACGTATTTCACCAGAGAAAGTGCCTCACACACTAATACTTTCACCGAATGTTGTAGTTACGGCCATTTCCTCGGCGTTTCTGCTCTCACAGCCAGCTGAAATATCATAGTGCAAGACGAGACGCAAGACCGAGAGCCGAGGAAAGCACGATGAACTATAGCTATGGAGGCATAGCGCCCCCTGTCGTTCGGATGTCCACAGACACTTCTGTGGATTTTTATGCTTCGGACCCCTGTTTTTTGCGTGTCAAAAATACTTTAAACTACTTTTTCAAAACCATCCAAAATGCCTTTTAATAATTTTGAGTTGTTGTTAAATATGTACGTATAATACGTTTTTTTCGATAATGTGATTCATACTTTAATTTGATAATGTGATTTATTCTGTGACGCTTGGCTGACCGAGGCATCGGAGTAGCAATGGCGGAAGACGAGTGGAGACTCGCAAAGTTGCTATAAAGTCCATTCAGACGCACACCTCCAGGTTCAGAAAGAGTTTCTACCCAACTGCAATCAGACTCATGAACAATCAGTAACCTTGTATCACCTCCACTGCTACCCGCACATATACTTCTGCCAATATCTCTGTTTATCCCTAGGATTCTAGTCTTATTTATTTACTTATTTATATTCACTTCATCATTACACTCACTTATTTATTGTGTTTTTTTGTCATCTTGTCTATGTTCACTGTCTGCAGGGGCACATGCAAGTAAGCATTTAATTGTACATGGTACTCGTATTTGTACACATGACAATAAAAGAATTGAATTGAATGAATGCCATGAGGTTACACATCAGAGGGGAAGGCTCACACACGGTAGGGTAATTATACAACACTAGAGCATGTCAGGATTACACATATGACACAGGTAATGATACATGCGCCAGTTGGGAGCAAAAATAACCACACTAACAAATACATACAAGGGCTATTTACAGGACATACAAAGGGCTCTATACAGGACATCCAAGGGGCTATATACAAGGCTCAAGAGCATGCCGGGATGTTCAAACCCCACCATTGCTACACTGCACCCCCCCATGTAAAAGGTCAGCCATCCCAATGACCACCACCACCAGTCCCCACCTCAGCACTGATACAAGTCCCAGGGGTCCACTGGTAGCTGCCAGTGTGTCACCTCCAATGGAGGGGGCTGTTAGCTCCAGGTGCTCGTAAGCACTGGCAGGGTTTAACTGCTGGCATTTCAGATCCTCCAGGACACCAACCCTTCCATTTGCACACCTAAGGGAATTGGGTAGCTCTTCCAGGGAGTCCTCCTGGCCAGGGAACACCACTCCCAGGGACTCCCACAGCCAGTCCCCCTTTTTTGGGAACAGCCAGCGCACGGGGCAGCTGGATACTGCTGGCGGTGTGGCCTCTTCCCGGCCCTTCTTCCTACCCCACCTAGTGGGGCCCTGATGTTGTGTGGCAGGCTGGTCTTCCTGCTTGACGGGTTGGGAATGACCTCTCTTGGCCCTGCAGTTGCTCCTTGTTGTCCTGCAGCTCCCGGCGCTTCTGGGCCAGCTGGGCTTCCAAGCCGCAACACGCCTCCTCCCAGTCAAGCAGTGCCGTCTCGCAACCCTGTAATGCCGCTGCCTCAGGCAAACACGCCTGCCGGTCGCACTCCTGCTCCCACAACACTAGAGCATGTCAGGATTACAAATATGACACAGGTAATGGTACACAAGACGGTTGACAGCAAAAGTAATCACACTAACAAATACATACAAAGGGCTATTTACAGGACATACAAAGGGCTATATACAGGACATATAAAGGGCTATATACAGGGCCCACGAGCATGCCGAGATACTCAATCCCCTCTGATGCTACAATACTTTAAAATAAACATAACTCTCTGTAATCAGGGATGGACAGCATATACCAGCATTATGCATATACAGATCTGGCCATCCAAATTGAGGGCGGGAAGGAAAGTGATCTCGCTTGACACCGGTGTATTTCCCGGGAACACAGAAAATGCATTGACACAGGAAAGACATGATCAGTAGGGGGCAGTCATGTAACGCACTGAACTGAAGCGGCAGCGAACATCACCGCGAGCTACTGTACAGTAAAAGGCTCGTTTGAGATGAGCCAAATCTGCGTGGAATCGATGGGAAACGACTGGCTGAGGACACAGTTGTTCAAATAACAGTTGTTCAAACAACTGTGATGTTGCATTCTCTTCTAAAATGTTTTATTTTTTAATCTAATATCATGTGGTTATGTGTTTAAATTCTGCGTAAATATTCCCAAACATTATGACAGTGCATTCTATGTGTGAGATATGTGATTGTTGTCATATTACTATCAAAATCTAAAATACATGTTTGTGTTAAAGTAAAAAATGGATGATAAATACGCCTTTCGTATGGAATTAAATAGCAAGCAATTTGAGTGTCTCCGGTACACGCAATATATTTTGCTAACTTGACAACCTGTTCATTATCAAAATCAAATATAGTTAAAGGAACATATAAAACGTTGCACTGCTCAATTTAAATAGTCCATACTGTCTGTGCCATTCAGCATGAGCACCACCTCACTGTGATTAGGCCTGTAAGTAGTATTTTTAACCAGCAATATAAATAAAAATTTAAAATATCTTGAATTACATTTTAACCCCCCAGAGCCAAGCCTGCTCTTCTCACCTTTATTCATAGGGTGGGGGAAGGTGAAAGGTGAATTGGCACGTTTAAAAGTGACAGGAACGACCCCCTCTCATTAACATTTGTGAGGTTAGATCTTGTAATTTGAAGGGTTGTGAAAGCCATAAGGTATTGCTAGGATGCAAAGTCCAAAAAGCAAGGAATATCTGCGCTATGTTACTCGTTAGTTGCGCAGTAATATTTTATGAATCACAAGAATAGGCCAACATGCAGTTACAAAATACAATGCTCTGCAGTTTTTAATTTAACTTCTGAAGGCCATTTTGCGATCTCAATCGTCATACACCAGCATAGACCACCATTTTCTCAATTATTTCTTCTTAGATTTTTGTTTTAATATGCCACTCAAACGCACATAATGCTATGCCTTTATTCTCAAAATAGACTATTAGGATCTCATATTGCTACAACTTTACAACGGGACAAATTTTTATTATTTTTATCATTATTATTTTATGTTTTTGATAACAGCAGATTCTCAACAACAACAATGCCAAAAAAACTTATTTATTCAAGTGATCAGAAAAGTACAGTATATTTTCATTTTACAGTTTTGCCAATGCTTAGACATTTTTAAACAACTTTAGACATTGTTACATTCCAGTATGTCCACCCTGACGCTCCACCACAGCCGGAAGAACTTTAAACAATCTGTTTATGTACTTGTTGCATTGCTGAAAGTTCCTCGAACCAGAATTTATTTATGGCAGCAATTAAGTCAGACTTTGTAGTTGGTTTTGCTACCTTTCGAATATAATCTTTCAGAGCATGCCACACCATTTCCGTGGGATTCATGTCGGGGGATTCGGCGGGAGTCTTAACCCAGTTTATACCCTGATCAGCAATGCACCCTGCAGCAGTGTGCTTCGGGTCATTGTCCTGGAAAAAACGGTGATGTGCTCCGAAGTTTTCCCTAATGTATGGGGCAGCAGTTTCTGTTACAATAGCATTTTCAAAGAAAGACCGGTCCATTATGCCTTCGAAGATTGCAATCGGTCCCGGACCCAGTCTGGATGTTGCTCCCCAAACATGAACTTATAGCGGGTGCTTTGGCTTTGGTTTAGACACGTGTCTCCCACTCTTACGAAATGACATGGTGGCAAAGCGGTCCAAAGCCACTGTTGTTTCATCAGTGAAAATGACATCGTGAAATGACTCCTTCTCAGCAATCCATTTCTGGGCTTGTTGGAGACGTAACTCTTTATTTTTGTCTCTGATCATGGGACAATGTTGAGTTTTCCCATACTTCCACCCAAGCTTTTGCCTTATCCTCCGAATGGATTGCTCGCTTATTTCTACTCCGCTGTCACGCCATAGCTGTTTTTTCACGGAACATGACACCAGTTCATCATTCTGACGAGTGATATTCTCTATGGATAGGACAATGTCCCTAAAATCAAGGGCAAGACAGAAAATAGTTAAACATTTGACAGTTTATGCATAACCACCACTTAGCATTAACCAGTATTTAGGCTAGTGTTTGTGTTCGCCTCATGCAGTGGGTAACTTACTCAGTTATTTTGCGAGGATTACGTTTGTGCGATGATCGTTCTTTGTAATGTCTTCTGATAGTGTTCAATGTAGCGTGTACACCAATGGATTTCAGATGTCGGGATATTTCTTGAGTAGAACTTCCAGCAGACCTCATCACCCTGATGTCTTGGGAATGCAGCTTGCTGATTTTGGTCATTGTGAGATGACTTTACACGTGGATGGACTGTATTTATCCGTACAGTGTGTCAGGGGTGTGGACACTAATGTTTTGTGAAAAGAGGGTGCGTCATACTGTAGGTGGAGCGTGTGAGGAAAGCTTTCCCCTTTTCCCTGGCATGCATTTGAATGCTGAATCCGAAATTAAACTGAATGCTAGACAGTCGGAATCCCCCCCCCCCAAGAGGCTCCAATAATATGTTGATTACAAGGCAATCTATTTTAAATAAAACATTAAAATACAAAAATACTTCATGTTATTGTATTCTTGTGTTACTTTATACTTGTTACGTGAGACGGAGTATATCAAGAGAATATAAGTTTGCCTTTCAGGCACATGTCTGTTCTATGTATATGGTTTTTAGAGGAGCAAATTTCCAAAATTCACTCCGCCCTTTTTCACTGTTTGTGAGGTGAGACTACTAATGACCTAAAGTCAGGCTTCCTCCTATGTTTCAGTATTTGGCACCAAAACTCACACAGTCCTCATGTAATTCAAGAAAGAACTTTCTTTAATTTCCAAAATTCCACAGAAATCTTCTAGACAACGTATCCATTGGGCTGAGTTTTTAAAAATATGCTAATCAATTGTTTGTCTTTATATTGTAGAAAGAACACATGTAAACTCCCCAATCCTGGAAGTGTGAAAAATAAGTTATATTTTTGACCTGTAATATTTAGTAGTATATCAGATACAGATCTCGATGTACATAACCCTCTATTTACGAAAAGACTATAATCAA